GTTGCCCCTTGGGGTTAGGTATGGGAGCCCTTCTGGGTCGCGAGGGCTCCTCTTCTTTGTCGCTGTCAGTGAAGGAATGTGGCGCGGACTAGGGGGTGGCGGAGGCCGTGTCCCCACCCAGAGTGGGGGTAGGGGCTTTGCTCGCCTACTCCATCTCTGCTCCTCGGCGTCTGAGGGGGGTGCACGACTGCCCCGGGCGGGTGGGAGGTACCAACCTCTAAGTACGGACCTGGATCCTCATGTATCTCACCACCCATTCCCCTCATCAAAGCACCATCCTCTTGTCGGGTCTTTCTCCCGGAACCCTGAGGCAGCAGAGTGAGAGCTGAGACCATCCCAGTTTGAGTCCTTGCTGTCTCCTCTCTTTGCTCTCGGGTCTCCAAGACCTAGAAGTCCCGACGTCTCGGTCGGTTCGGACCGTGGCAACCCTCCTTCTCCCCGCCCATACCCATCTAACGCGAGCACCTCCCATCCCCTTGAGGACCGGTGCCTCGGGAGCCGGTGCTGAGAGCGCCTCCCTCTCCCTCCGGGAATTCCCTCCCTTTCGGCTGCTCTCCGCTGAGCGCTGGCCTCCTGCTGGGCCCGGTGTCTGGGAACCCGGACGCCTGGGTCGGAGGCTAGCCCCTCCCCGTCCTTCCTAGCTCTTTGCTACCCGACGTCGTCTTGTCCTTTTTATATCTCCCTCTCTTGGACCTTCCTCGGGATCCCGGACCCCGAGGTCCCAGAGCTCTCCACCTCCACCCCACCCCCTTTCCCTGGCGGTGACAGGCTGCGAGTGACAGGAGCGTGGCCGCTCCCGCCCTCTCTCCCTGCAGGAGAGCGGCACTCCCCTCCCCCGCTCCCGACCGGGCGGCGGAGGCGGAGGGCGAGCGCCCGCGGCGCCGCACAAAGGGGCCGGGGCTACCTCCCCCTTTCTCCACCCCCTGCACTTACAGACTTGACCTTGAGCCTGGAGCGTTGGGGTGACTGGGAGCGTGCGCCCCGCCCCCCATTCACCTACAGAAGGGTTCTTTGAACCAAAACCCTTTCCCAGTTGCTTCTGGTTTCTGGGATGGGGGGGGGGCGGTGAGAAAATAGGGAGGCAGGGATTTACAGGTACGCGCCTACAAGGGAGACAGTCTGGTACCTGGGTCAGTGTGAGGGGGAGGGCAATGGTAACATATTATACTTTCCTCTGACTCAGTCACACACACAGAGGTCTCTGTCTTTTGGAGGGACAGTCTGAAATCGGAGTATACTGGGTTGGTGGGTCTGCAAAACACGTCGAGGGAAGTGTGCTTGGTGTGCACTCTGCAGGAGTGTAGAGGACAGTCGGAGGGGATTGGCGTGGGTCTCTTCCAAAGGGCCGATTGGGCTGGAAGTGGGACGCACTCGTCCCTAAGGAATGCCAGCGCCACAGGTCGTGGTGGCGCACGCCTTTAATCCCTGCACTAGGGAGGCAGATGCAGGTGGATCTCTGCCAGCCTGGTTTATATAGTGAGCTCTAGGCTAGCTAGGGCTAGAGCCAAATCCCCTTGGGAAGGAGAGCCCTTTGGCACAGGCTTTAGTTCTTCCTGCCTGAATTCACACTTGGCTGGAAGCCATTGGTTTCCTGCTCAGGGCCTCAGTGTTACCGAGTGTGGGTTGGGCCGCATAACTGTTTGTATTACCTCATGGGGGCAGCAGTGAGGCTCATCGAGGTGTTGAGTTATAGGCTTGATCTTAGCAGGGCTTCGACTTTTTAGTTGTGTGGCACCATGCCAGACTTTTTAGTTTTGTGGGGTTTTGTTTGTCTGTTTTGTTTTGCTTTACTTTGTTTCTAACACAGACTCTTAAAAACTCTCTAGCGCAGGCTGCCCTCAAACTCAAGCAATCTCCTCAGCTCTCTGGATGCTAGGATTACGTAGCTGGGCCACAGGACGTCACTGGAAAGGCCATCGCTCTCAAGCACTTTGCACAGGGCCTTAGCCTGACCCAAAGTTTTGATTCTTACTATGAGTGTGAATAGTGACTAATGTTATAACACAGGGCACTGGACTCTGGGACGGGGCAATGCTTGGACAACTGAGAGGCCAAGTTTGGAGGAGAGTGTGTGGAGAGGTTCTTAAGAGAATGGAGCCAGGCCCTTTGCTAGGGGTAGGTGGGACTTCTGAGGAGACAGGACACCAGCTACACTCGGGAGTGTGTGGGCACGGCAAAGGTGGAGGTGTGGAACAGGTTGGGGAGGGTGTGCTGGGGATCTGGTGCGGGGGAGGTGAAAGGTGACAGGGACGCTCTGAGCTGAATGACAGCATATCATGGCAAGGTGGGTGGACACTACTGGGGTCTGGAAAGGAGGTGCCAGCACTCCTTATTTAATTCTGGGCAGGAAGTGAATTGGATGCCCTTCCTATGCTGGGGAAGGGATGGGTCAAGGCCTTGATGACTTAGATGGCCCCCGCGGTAGATGGGGACATTTGTGGAAGGGAGCTAACTCTGGAGGTGTGTGTAGTAGAGGAAATCTCGAGTCTTTTATGGATGGGTGGAACACCCTCTGCTGGACAAGGGTTTATTTGTATTAACATTTGATATGCTAATTTATGCAGCCACTCAAATCAGACTGCTGTTATTCCCCAGAGGGTGGGGGGCTGTGTGTGTGTGTGCGCGCGCGTGTGAGACTCAGTAGGTCAGTTCATTCTCTGGGGCTCTGTTGGGGTAGTGTCTGTGGGTGACAGTGGGAGAGGAATGTGGATGGCTAGGTGAATAAATCTTCCATCATTACCTTCAGACAGGGGCAGAGAACACAGCAAGGTTTCTCCTCAAGACCCCAAAGTCCTTGTCTGGGAAATAAGGATAGAACTAGTTTAGCCTGGAGAGAGCCGTGCTCAGCACATGGTGGGCATTAAGTATTCACCCGGCACGTATCTGCTGACCACCCACTAGGACAGGCATTATTCCAGTAACAGCAGCGCCACTCTGTGCCTTGGTTCCTATCAGATCCTCTTTGTAGATAACTTCTCTGTGGAATAAATGAATAGATTAGTACCTGCCAGTACTATTTTCTCATCTGGGACTGTGGTTGAACCCATGGACTCTCAAATACTTTCTTTTTACCAGAACCGAACCCCAAGCCCTGCTATGTTCCCTGGAGAACACCAGCAGCTGGCGTGGTGTCATACACCTTTGGGAGGCAGAGGTAGAATTGTAGTTTGAGACCAGCTTGGGCTGAACAGCAAAATTGTCACTAAAACAGCCACTTACCCTGTTACTCATCTACTCTTCATTCCGATGAGGCATTATAACTATTTTCTAAAGGAGCAAGCAGGCCCAGAAAGGTTAAATCGTGTGCCTGAAGTCCTATCAGCGAGGATTTGAGCTCTGGAAGAATGCCGGCTGTCCTGTAGCCCTGGAGTGGACCGGGTTGGCCGCGAGAGTCAGCCTAGGGATGCGATGGGTTCTCTAGAGTTTGGACGGCCTGGTGGGAGAGCTAGCGTCTCCGCAGGCATGCTGGTGACACCGCTGGGTGGGCACCTGCGAGGTATGCGCGCCTGCGGCTGGGCGTGCATGAAGGTGTGCGAACGGGGTGTGTGGGAGTCTGCGAGTGTAGTGTGACTGTGTGTAAGTTGCCATGTGCGCGTGTGTGCGTGCATGCGTCTGTGCACGTGGGACTGGGGGGAACTGGGGAGTGCGTGTGAGTGAGCGTGTGTGAACGGCGGCGTGATCCTCCATCCCCTTGGGGGCTGAGGACCCGCCAGGGACTACCACTCCCGGCATGGCTTAGGCGGCCCGCCCCGCTGTCCTGATTGGACAAGATCCGCGTGCTCCCGCCCCCCGGGAATGAATGGATGGGCGGCCTCAGCGCCCGCCCGACCGCTGGGAGGACCGACCCGGCAGGGACCTGCTGGGGGCAGGACCCGGGGAGCAAGATGGCCACGGTCATCCCCGGCCCCCTGAGGTGGTGCGGGCGGGCGCGAGGCGGGGGAGTTCGCGCGGGCGGGTCTACGTGGCCGCGCGCGCGCGTGTGTCTGTGTATGTGTGTGGCCGCTGGGGGTGGGGCCGGTGGGGTGTCAGGGGGCTGTCACCGTGTGCGGGGGTGCGAGCGTGTGTGACTGTGGGTGTCTGGCAAGAATGATGTCCGACGCGTTGCTCCTGGACGGGTGGAGGATGTGGGGGAGGGGTCTCCCGAGCGTTTTAGGGGAAGGGGGTCATGTCCCCTCCCAGGGATGCGAGGGTTTGAGAGAGGGTAAATGGCTTAGGGAAGCTGGGGCCTGAGTACACTCGAGTCGAATCCACGCTACCTTTGTCTTGGGGTGTAGAGTGTGTTGCGCGACTTGTGCATTGCTTTTTGTTTTCTGGTTGAATGTGTGGTTGTGGTTATGTATATGATTTCTTTTATTCTGCGCTACCTATTTGACTATTTGGGCTCTGAGTGCCTGCACATGTCTGGTGGAACTGCTCCATTTATGCTCTGTGTCTTTGGCTAGGGAGATGTGAGGATATGTCAAAATTTTTGTGTGAACACGGGCAGACCTGACTGTCCCTCTGTTTCCAAGGCGTGTATCTGTGTTTGGAATGTATTTTAAATTTGGGTTTCTGTTTTGCCAGGGTGTGAATGTGTGTATGTGTACCTGTGTAAATCTCTGAGATTTCTTTGTATTGTGTGTTTGACATAGTGTCTTTGGATAGATGTGTAAGTGCATGTGTAAATGTTTCCCGAGTCCCTGTCTTTGGACACTGTGTGACTGTTGCGATGTGTGCGTGTAGTGTAGTGTGTTTCTGTGTTATGCAGTCTTTGTGGTTAATTTGTTTATCTTGTGGTCTTTGGAAACATGACGTGCATAGGTAGTTCTATGTCTGTTTCTGACTTGGAATATTTGTGTTCTTCAAGGGGTGTGTGAGAGAGAGAGAGAGAGAGAGAGAGAGAGAGAGAGAGAGAGAGAGAGAGAGAGAGAGAGAGAGAGAGAGAGAGA